ACAGTGACAGAGAGAAGCAGAGGCACAGAGACAGGCCAGGCTGTTCTCTGGGTTTCCTGTTGTTGCAATAAAACTCAGCTGATCATCTCACGGAGTACCTTCATTCTTGGACCACGCATTTCTGTCTTTGTTAAATAAATATTGCCATAGCAACTACTATTAAATAAAATAATCCATTTAATTGCAGAATGGATTCAGACTCATATTCATATATGTCCAGTTCTGAAACAGAGGGACYAGCCTCTGAGAATACACTTGAGACAGTTATGTACGAACTGTCCAACACGATGTTTCCAGGTTTTCAAAGGAAAATGGAAAAAATAAACATTGAGGACCTCATGAATCAAACGTCACAGTTAGCCCAAGAAGTGCTAAACGATGACAATAGTCAAAAATGCTAGCAAAATTAACATACCTGATGGAAGCTAAGCTAAGGCTGACCACAGTTCAGTTAAAGAAAGCTAATCTTTGTTTAAGAGCAAAAAAGTTCAAAATAAACAAACAGGAAGCCCAAATAAACAAACTAAAAGAGGAAGTGCAAACTGGAAAAGAAGCTAGAACGCAGGACCTCATACAAGCTAAAACAGCAATCCATGATGGACAGCTAAAAATAGCACAAATGACAATCACATGTTTTCAACACACTGAAACAATGGAAGAAAACAGAAACCTCATACGGCAGTATGAGGATGATCCTGAACTACAAGACCATGATTTAAAACAGCAAAACCAGGAGTTACAAAAAAACTCGCTGAAAAAGATGAACAAATCAAAAACTTAATGCTTAAAACACACTAATTCTCCTCAATCTGAGAACAACAATCTCACACAAAAAGGGGGGTCACCACAAGCAGACCCCATCCAACATGAAAGGCAAAAGCCTTCAAATCAGACACAGTTCKACAGAACTGAACAATGTCAGCACTCATGCACACATCAAAACCAGAACAAAGGAACAGAGTTTTTATCCATTCGAAGGCTCATCAGAGGACTGAGAGTCCAAGACAGTTCCTTGATAATTTGACTCGAGGTGACSCGTACACCTACTAACAGTAAAGAGATATTCTGGTTATTTGTGAAGTAATGCTGTATTAATATTAATACTTTATCAGCTGTGGCATCAGTCATTTGATAGAGAAAGAGGTAGAAATTTGTTACAGACTCAGTGTGAGGAGCTCAGCCGTCTGAGACGAGCTCAGAGAACAGTTGCTGCTCCTCATCAAAAAGAGTTTGTTGTGGAGGTTCAGCGTACAGAGTAATGAAGGACTCTGATGGACCTGGGACTGGGTTGTCTTTGGTCTGGGTATCAGGGACTGGGTTTTCTTTGGTTTGGGTATCAGGGACTGGGTTTTCTTTGGTTTGGGTATCAGGGACTGGGTTTTCTTCAGTCTGGTGGCTCTTCATGTGTGTCTTCAGACAGTGGCTCTGGGTGAAGGCTTTGTCACAGAGGGTGCACTTGTAGGGTTTCTCTCCATTGTGGGTCCTCATGTGGACTCGCAGGTATCCCTGTCGAGAGCAGGCTTTCCCACAGACCCTACAGACAAAGTTTTTGACTCCTGAGTGGAGGAACATGTGAAGTTTCAGCTTGTACTTGAGTTTGAAGAGACGTCCACACTCTGAACATTTATATGGTGTCTCATTGCTGTGGACTGCCATGTGTGTTTTCAGGTTTCCACTGAACATAAATCTTTTACCGCACACGTCACAGACATATGGTTTCTCCCCACCGTGGATCTTCAGATGTTTTAATAATATTGATTCTAATCTGAAGGTTTTTGAGCAGATGTGGCAGAGAAACGATCTATCTTTGTCTGTGTGGATCTTCATGTGAGTCCTCAGACAGCTGTGAAATTTAAACCGTTTCCCACAGACTTTACAGACCAGGCGCCGTTCCTCAAAGTGGACAGCTCGGTGTTGGGTCATCGTGCTGCGATTATCAAAACATCTCTCACAGATGTCACAGATGTATTTGTTTTCCTTGGTGTGTATCTTCATGTGAGTTTTAAGATGTAACTCCACACCAAATGTTTTCATACAAACGTCACATTTAAGAGGTTTATTTTCCTCATGAACCCATTGATGATCATCCAGAACAGACTTCAGAGTGAAGGTTTTGTTACAAATGTTACATTTAAACTGACCTGTGTGTTTCCTCATGTGTCTCTTCAGACTAATTTCTTTGACAAAAATCTTCCCACAGTCAGAACATCTGTGAACCTCTTGGTGATTTTCGAGATGTTCCTTTAACTTTTCCTCAAATTCAGATTTCTCTCCACAGATGCCACAAACATCCTGCTTCTCATCCACGTGAGTCCAAACGTGTCTGATTAAAGCCCCCAGATTAAAGTACCAGGTTCCACATACTTTACAAGACTCTCTACTTCTCTCTGTCTTATCTGTCCTCTTCTTATGCTTCCCTCTTCTAGTTTTGTTAGGTATCTGTTGTTCAAAGCCTGGATCAAACTCTGTGTCGTTGCAGGAGTCCATGTTGTTCCCTGTTTCCTCCTCATCGGTTTCCAGGTCCTGTTCTTGTGACGTTGAGCCATTCAATGGATTTCTTCTTCTTTTGGTTTTGTCTACACCTTCAACAGAGCTGCAAAAAAGAGAATAAATATAATATGATTATAAAGGGTTCCGACAGTTTAAGGTAAGTTACATTAAAGACTTTTTAAGACCTCTTTAATGCCACTTGAAATGAAATTTTAGACCAACTTCACAATAAACGCAAATGGAGAAAAACCCAATTAGGAGTGGTGGGCAGCGCTAACCCAAAAATTAGCTCCGCAATTTTTAAACCGCTAATGAAAATATTTAGGTCTGCAACTTCAAAACCGCTTATGCCATAGAAAAAGAAGCGGAAACTAATTTTAAAGCGCAGGTTATATTTGACACATACTAGCTGGCAACAATGTAAAATATATYCACAACACTGCCAACTAGCAGTGTATGAACTCTTTTACAACTTAATTCTACAACCGCCGATTGCTGGGGATGTGATTTCCTGAAACAGACCTTTGGCTCCTGGTGTAAAAATTAAAAAGTTGTTGAGGATTGCTAGTTCGGCTGATTCTTTGTCTTTTTCTTTTGTTTGTTGTAGGTTTTTCGTTAAAGAAGCATCAATAAAGAAATTTTAAAACTGTTTATTGGAAAACTGAAGCGATGCATTCTTGGGTACATGACGGATTTGTTTTGTGACGGGAAATGAAAGCACAGTTGCTCCAGTTGACCACTAGATGTCAGTCTTCATCAGCATAACATCTTTAAATCATTTCTGAGTCTCTAACACCGTTGGCTGATTGCTTTGACCAATTACTAYGAATGGTGCCCACCACTGCCAATTAGCAACATTTTTACCCAAATGTTTAACACATAAAAAATAGCTGTGAGAATCATTTGGCAAATTATTAAAAWATATAAACGTTACTAATTGTTTTAATATTTCAGAAAAATTAAAATCATCCCACTTACAATGTGTGTGGAGGGGGTGGAGTGATATCACAGCACCCACATCACTGCAGACACAGCACCAATCCGTCTGTCAATCTACCCTTTTCTGTCTCAAGACCGTGGTCTCAGATTTGGAGACACTGATCCTCATCCCACTGATCCTCATCCCGGCCGCTTCACACTCGGCTGTGAACCGCTCCAGTGAGAGCTGGAGATCAAGATCTGATGAAGCKAATAGGACCACATCATCCACAAAAAGCAGAGATGTGATCCTAAGGTCACCAAAAAGGATCCCTTCAACACATTGGCTGCTCCTAGAAATTCTGTCCATAAAAGTTATGAACAGAATTGGTGACAAAGGACAACCTTGGCGTAGTCCAACTCTCACTGGAAACAAGTCCYACTTACTACCGGCAATGTAGACCAAGCTGGGCACCGGTCGTACAGAGACCTAACAGCCCGTATCAACGGGCCTAGCACCCCATACTACTGGAGTACCCCCGACAGGAGTCCCCGAGGGACACGGTCGAACGCCTTCTCCAAGTCCACAAAACACATGTAGACTGGTTAAAGTCCCATGGGCCCTGCTGAGGGTGTAGAGTTGGTCCAGTGTTCCATGACCAGGACGAAAACCACACTGCTCTTCCTGAATCCGAGATTAGACTATCCGACGGACTCTCCTCTCCAGGACCCCCTGAATAGACGTTACCAGGGAGGCTCAGAAGTGTAATCCCCTATAGTTGGAACACACTTTGCGGTCCCCCTTTTTAAATAGGGGGACCACCACCCTGGTCTGCCAATCCAGGGGAACAGCCCCTGATGTTCACGCTATGTTGTAGAGTCACCTCAACCAACACAACCCCACAACATCCAGAGCCTTAAGGAACTCCAGGCAAATCTCAWCCACCCCTGGCATCTAGCTTCTGAGGAGCTTTTTAACCACCTCAGTGACCTCAGCACCAGAGATTGGAGAGTCTGACCCAGGGTCCTCAGGCTCTGTTTCTTCATGGGKAGCAACATAATATAATATAGATAATATTTTAACATTTATAACTTTAATCAAACTTTTTACCTGGTTTGAAGCTCAGTTTCAGTATCAGGAGCTGGAGGGTCTGTGGTTCTGGGTGAACCATGAGGGTCTTCAGTCTTTTGGTCCTCTTCTTTTTTCTGAAAAAGATTCTCCATAAATACGTTTTTTTTTATTTCTCCACAACCACAAATTAAACCTTTAGAGATTTGTAAGGTTTGGTTTTAAAGATCTGAGGATTCAAGTCCTCCTTAAAACTTCTTCAACATCAGATTCAGCTTCAAACACTTAAAGTGGGTTTTATTAGAACCTGGTGTCCAAATGGAGACAGAGGAACAGAAAAGAGTCTTAAAACTGATCAAATATCTAAATCTGATCCCTCCATGTTGGACTTGATGCTGTTCAACTAAACTCATCTGTCTTTATGGATTATTCTTACAGTTAYAGGTCTGAATGTTGACTGGAAGCAGAGAAAATGAAACTAACAGAAGAACCAAGAGTCCAACAACCTTCAGCTGGATATAGAGTGCTTTGTTCCCGCTGGATGTTATGGTCCTGTGGATCTCCTCTGGAGTCACAGGTTTAACTCTCAGAGGCTCAAGTTTTCTGCTTGTAGATGTTACAAAGAGCTCAAAAGGTTCACCGTGAGCCAACAGGGGGAAGATGGACCTCAGGAGGTCCAGGAAGTCCTCCTCCTGTAGAC